CATCTCATGGAAATGTCCTCTCGTTGGACCTGGCGCTCTCTCACCCGTCTTACCAAAGCTTCAAGTGAGAGTAGAGACACAAGCTGACAAAAAAGGACGCCAGTAACGATCACAGCAGAATATATTTCTCATCCCTGATGCCATTTACCTAGTTCGTCTTGACAGAAGCTGCCTGGGGGATTGACGTATTTCATGGTGCTCACATCCAACCTCCAGTTGTGCTTTGTGCATCTGACAGACCTACGTGGAAAAGACACTGTACTGAGGTTTGCGAAATGGTAAAATGATAATTAATCTCACTAAGCTTAAGTGCATTACTTGGCGATCAAATTAAATGAGGGGCTTGAGCACCAACTATATAAAAGGAAAATCACTAATAGATGAATACTCACTACCCAAGGAAATATGTAATCATCCTCAGTAGGTGATTTTTAAAAAATGAAGCTAAAAAAAATAAATGAATAAATGAATAGTGACGTTAAGTTCCATGTCCTAAGATGACACGTGTCTAGACAGATCAACAGAACCAAGAGAATAAAGTGGTCTTCAGGGATGGTTCGCTGGAGAAGATCCAAATGGGAGCCAACACAAGGAAAGAACCTAGTAGTAAATATATGTTTCTGATCGACAACACTTGACCTCTGCCACAGTGTACCAAACCAAACTTCAGCTAAAGTGTTCATGTTTCGAAGAGGAAGGATTTCCTTATAGCTCAAAATTTCAGGGCCTGGTTGCCAGATAGAACAATGCCCCCAGTTAATATGAATATCAGATAAATAGAGAACATTTAAAAAATATATCTACATCAAACACAGTATTTGAGATATGCTGAAAATCTTTTGCTGATCTGTAATTCAAATTTAACTAAGATTTATTTACTTTCATTTGCTCACTTTGGTAGCCCTACTCCCGAAGGAGAATCAGACTGTAACAAAAACAGGATGTGTACTGATTTTTTCTTTCCATTCTTACCGGAGCGTTGAAAGGCGTGTGGGGGTTGGGGATGGGACACAAACAGTTCAACTTTTTCCTCTTTATTTTGCTAGTGTTTGCAGTGAAGTCTTTTCCTTGGACAGTTGAAGAATTTAAAAACAAAACCAAATATGTCTCAGACCAGAAACATGAGAGGTTGTAAACTAAAAATGTGTTTTATGAATTTTTTTACATTTTTTAATGTTTGTTTATTTTTGAGAGACAGAGAGACAGAGAGAGAATGAGTGGGGGAGGGGCAGAGAGGGAGACACAATATCCCAAGCAGGCTCCAGGCTCCGAGCTGTCAGCACAGAGCCCGATGAGGGGCCCGAACCCACCAACCGTGAGAACATGACTTGAGCCGAAGTCAGACACTCAACCGACTGAGCCACCCTGGGGCCCCTAAAAATGCGTATTTGACATATAAGGGAACTCTGCTGATTTTTTTTTCAAGCTTCGTTATATCTAGACTTTTAAAATATTCTTTTCTACGAAGAAGGCATAAAGCATGCTCCACACTTTGGTTTACAGAGGACTCTTTTGTGCCATCTCCTTTAATCATCAGCAAGTAGCCAACAACAGCTCTCTGAAAACTAAGAGAAAACGTTCCAAATTAGCTCCTCAGCATCCTGGGCCATCGGAGAAGGAACATAAATCCTCATGCGGAGGTGGGCGGGCAGAAGGCAACACCAGCTTCACATGCAGGAGAGATTGTGAGAAACCGTTGGACTTGAGATCCAAGAAGCACAGCTTCAAGGAGTTGCTGACCTGGGTTGTGGCTGAAGAAGACAAAATGGCTGAGTGGGGAGGGGAGGAGAGGCAGGTCACCGTTCTTGACCGGATCCTGGAAGAAAGAGAGTCTTCGGGGGGGAATGGCTGGAGGAGAACCTGAACGGGGCGGCCAGATGGGGAGAGGAGGGTGAGGGAGGGCAGTGCAGAAGTTAACTCCGGGGATTCGGTTTCAGCAAAGAAATGCTCGGGGAGCTGCGTCTGGGAGTAACGGTGAGAGATTTTGGCTCCCCGTGTGGAGGAGACCCATCGACAGGACAGGGGCGGAACTGGGAGGGGAGAACGGAGGCCCAGACGGGCTAAGAAACTGGTCCAGGTCACTGAGCTGCTAAGCGGTGGGGCTTCTGAATCGGGCCATGGGAAAGACTCTGCCCTCAACCACCAAGCCGCAACACTTCCTTAAATGACTGGTTAGGTGGGCACCGTGTGAAAGGGATCAGCAGAGACCACAAGAGAAGACAAGCAAGTCTCCGAACCATCAGAGGACCCGGACAGCCGTGAGCGCTGTCAAAAGTCCATTCGGGACAGGACCACCCCTGTCTCAGGGCCTCCTAACTGCACCCCGTGGGCAAAGGGCAGGGAGTCAAGATTGGGCTGGCAGCAAATTATCAAGAGGTTCTCCAGGGCACAGCTGTCCGTGAAAGTACGTTCCGTGCAGTACACGGACGTGTTTGTACTAAAAATGTACTCGTTGTTTATCTGCAAGGCAAATTTAAGAGGGTGCCCTGTATTTTAATTTTCCCAAGCTAGCGACTTTATCGGAGGAGCCCATCAAGCCACAGGTCCGACAGTGGTCTTTCTAAGATGTAAAATTCTAATAGTATGTAGGCTGGGCCCTGAAACTAACCGTTCACAAGCAAACGCATCTGCAAGCGCGAGAACATCCTAGTCCCACCCCTGGCGGTGGTCTTCCACCCGGTCACCGAGGGAGCTTCTCAACAGCCGCCCAGCTCCCTCTGAGCACGCTGGTCACAAATGACTGACAGCACGGTGGGAGCAGAACGCCCGCTATGGGAACGACTAAAACCACACAGGGCAGGTTGGGCTGGAGCAGAGCTTGAAGGCGGGTCTCTCTCTCAGGCACTGCTGGAGTCGAGAAGCTGGCTGATGATAACACATTGCCCCCGCTCAGAACTCCCCCTAGCTCCACCAGGCACAGCTGTTAGCTCTCCGGCAGCCACAGGAAACAAAACAAAACCACCCTCTTCTGGCACCGCTCCTGTGTCTGGGAGGCACAAGTTTAAGGTGAAGCTTTCATCGCGGGGCCGGGAACACCAGCGTGAGTTCTGGGAAGGGCCCAGAAGAGTCACAGTTCCAGGCAGGGAGAGTTGGGACGCCGTCTTTTTTGTTTATTAGTTACAAGGAGCCTGGCGGGGAGTGAAGGGGGATTCTGTCCGCTCTCAGGCAGGGTCTGGAAAAGCCCACCGACCAACACACCCACTTCCAGGCAAACACGCGCCCAAACACTCCCTCGCACAAGGACTGGAAGCTTTTACCAAGCCAGAGAGGAATCGGAGAGTTCCCCCGAGAGAGAGGAAACCTAAGTAGAGATCATAAACTCTCGAGATCGGAGAGATGGCCTAAGTGAGCACACACGAAGATTATGAATTTACTCGGGGACGTAATCTGTTGACGGAGTTGTTCAAAATTTCTCAGTGAGCGCACCCCTCCCTGCCCAAGTCTCACCGGGAGAGGGGCCACCCGTGAGAAGGCACAGAACCCTCGGTACCTTCCGTCTAAATCCTCGATGTCTTTTATGAACAGGCCTCCTTGATGCTTGCACACGTTCTTGCACGCCCTCACGCGATTCTTATTCTTGTACAGAATGAAATCTTTGCCGGTCTTCTTATTTCTCAAGAAATTGATTCCTTCCTTCAGGTCAGCAGCTTCTCCAGGTGACAGACACAACAAGACCTCCGTTGTCTGTTCAATGCTACGAAAAGGCAGACATTTGGGGGAGGAAAGGTTAATAACGTTAAGACTTAGGAGAGCATCTTTTGAAACTGGCGGCTCAAAGCCTCTTTCCACCGCGATAGGCTCAAGCCCCTCCCTCGCAGGACCCAGGCTTGGCTGCTCCCCTGGAAATGCACGCTCTGCTTGCTCAGTGTTGGTCTCGGGTTCCTCCAGACCCAATGCCCCTGTCACTTGCCTGCCCATGGTCTGCAGCTGCCTCTCCCTGGGAATTCTGAAAGGACGGTGGTTGCTCGTTCAGCTTTGGTTGCTCGTTTGCTCCCACAAAGTATGAGACGGAGGATGCATATGCACGCAGTTCACTACTGATTCCGTTGCACCACTTCCTCTGCTGTTTTGCTTCAGACGCAGGATCCTATTGGGCTCCAGGTGCCCACCCTGTCCGGTCCCACCTGCACACTTCTGCGTTTAGATCTGATCCTTTTGCTCACAAGCACAGTTCAACTTTCACCACTAGTCATGTTTACCACCCTCCAGGTTCAAATAGAACTCAGTCGTCCTACCCCAGCCTGGGTCAAGCCTCCAAAGCCACCCCTGGGACAAGCCTACACGTGCTAATGCGCACTACCATTCTGTAGAACATGAGAACCTTACACCCGGCACAGTGCCCCGTTTATTTACATATGGACGCTTTTCCAAACATTCTCCCTCCCCGTCGCTGAGCAGACGGCCTGTCACGCGGTGTATCTCTACCAGCTAGCTACTTCGTGAGTTAACTTTCCCACAGAATCTCCGTCTGAATAATTTGTACGAATATATATATAAAAATAACACTCCAGCAGCAAAGGAAACAGTTGATCTTGTGTATTATTTTAAGGAAACCGCAGAGGTTACACTTTTTAGACCCCAGTTGCTGAAGAAACAGTCTTTATGATACAACTCTGAAGCATAACGGGTTACGATTTTTGCCAAGAGATGTTTCAAGACATCTTTTGGCACACATTGTGTGGATTTGCACGGGATGCGATCTGGGTGCATGTCGCTCAATTTTACATCCCCTTCCAAAGCCAACGTGGTCAAAATTCTCTCCATGTGTTGACTTAGAATGGGTGTAGCTCAACTACATTTGTGGCATTTTCACTTTCAGTTTAGAAGCCCTGAAAATTTCTTAAAATGGGAAATAAAAATCATTTTATTTTTTTAAATATGAAATTTATTGTCAAATTGGTTTCTATACAACACCCAGTGCTCATCCCAACAGGTGCCCTCCTCGATACCCTTCACCCACCCTCCCCCCATCAACCCTCAGTTTGCTCTCAGTTTTTAAGAGCCAAAAATCATTTTAAAAATCACACCAAGATAGTGACAAGAAAGGAAAGCTACTTCAAGTCGAGCTGACGAGGCAGAGCTCCGTAATTGAGTCTAATCCAGTATAATTCTCTTCTTCCAGGAAGGTTCCGGCCGTCACTTCTGTCCCAAATGGCTAGTAATTCCGTGCGCAACAGATTTCAATATTTCCCAAACTGTTTTTTAAATGTATTTGATAGGATGGAATCCATTCTATGCTTCATGCATTTCTTTCAACTTTGTTCTTAGGAGTCCCAATATGACACCAAGCCCAGTAAACACGGCCACAGTTCCTAGAATAATTGGCCTAAA